AAATAAATAAATAAATAAATAAATAAATAAATAAATAAATAAATAAAATAAAATAAAATAAAATAAAATAGGAAATCTTAGCTGGACACAGTGGTGCACACCTGAAATTCCAGCTATGGGCTTGTCCCAACTACTCTGGAGACTGAGACAGGAGAACAGCAAGTTCAAGAACAGCCTGGGCAATTTAGAGAGATCTTGGCAAAAAAGAAATAGTAAAATGGGCTGAAGCTGTGGCTCAGTCTTAGGGCACCAGGCCCAGCGTTCAATCCGCAGTAAAGAAAACAGAAAAATCTTGAAAGCCCAAACAAAGGCCAGGCCCTTGCTCTGAGAGTGACTACAGCCCAGCTTGAGGAGCAATGTGCAAAGCATAGAAAGCATGATCCCGGGGAGAACCCACTGCAGTGCCATTCTGGTTACTACTGGAGATTCATACTAGGACACGATTGCTGCTGCACACCTCCAAGGACCAAGTGCAGACTTCGGATTCCACGTGAAAGCCAAAAGAGCCACCAGAGCGAGCCCTGCGAGAGACCCAGCAAAACTACAACTCTCCCTCTTCTACTCCCATCTAATCCGAATTTCATAAAGATGTACATTAGTCCTCTCCAACCTCTCTCAACTCCATGTTAATCGCTTCTGGCTTCCCCATTTTTCTCTCATTCTTTCTTTTTTTTTTTTTCTTCTCATTCTTTCTGGACTGATTTTAATTAGAAACAGATTTTTTAAAAAACATTTTCCTAAAATAAAAGTTTGTTCAACAACAACAACATTGACTTCTCAAAAATAAAACAAATTCCTAGCTCATAACATGGTCCAACTGTAAACTTTTCGCTTCCTTCCTTGTCTTACCAGGGGTTTCAGAGATTACTGCTTAGGATGTTCCACTGGAAGCCACAAAGAATACCCTGACCGTGCGGCCTTCGAGTGGCCTCCGAATTCGGGCTCGGCGATGCTGGGGAAAGAGCCAGGTGAAAATTCGCACCACCAAGTCTCAGTGACAGGAGGGGGAGGGCAGACTCACACCCCCAAAGTGCAGCCCTAAACAAAAACCCTAAAGAAATTCGGGGGGGGGGGGTCCGACAGGATACGAGGGAAACGAGTCCCAGGTGGACCCGGCCGAGGAGTCCGGACGGGGCCGAGGAGTCCGGACGGGTCAGAACAGGATTTGTAAGGAGCCCCCCCGCGCGGAAGATGGTTGGGAGCTGCGCTCTGCGCGTGGTTTGGGGTCCTCGCCGCGGCCTGCGCACAACAGCTCTGTGGATCGCGGGGCGAGGCGACCCCAGAACCACCACATCGAAGCGGTGCCGCGCTTCTCGACCCTCGACTCCCCACCGGTGCCCCGGGCCAGGGAGGAGAAGCCGCCCCTCCCCGGGCTAGATCTACGGCTCAGCCTTGCCTCTCTCTAAGAAAGGCCTGGGAATGCATCTAGTCCAGGGATCGGGGTGCCCGGTCCCTGCCAGCCCCGCAGGGCCCGAGCCCAGCAAGTCGTTCGGCCATTCCTGGCAGGACCTGGGAAAACCTGACTCTTTACCTGCAACAGCCCCCTTACTCTTCTTCTTCTTCCGTTTCTTTTTCTTGGCTGCTTCCTCAGCCGTAGAAGCCGCTCCCTCTTCCCTGTCGTCTGGGTCCAGGTCGCCATTCAGGTGGCTCCCGGAGGCCTCTGCCTCCTCCACGCCCGCCATGATGCCAGAGAGTGCGCGAGGGAGCGCAATAGAGCGGCGCGAACCCGATCCTTCTTCCCCGCCTCCCTCGCCCACGCCGCCGGAAGTCGCTCTCGCTAGTAGGGTGCGGGGCATGCTGGGACGGCGGAGGACTCGGAGGCGACCTTCTGCCCGGGTCGACGCCGCCTCGGTGGCCGGCTCCCCTGAGCGTGGGACCTGTCGAGCGACCCGGGTTTTGCCGCACCCTTTGCACTCTCAGTTCCGCCCTCGTGGAATCAGACTGAAAGGGGATCTTCAGCTCCAGAGTAAGGTGCAGAAGCCTGCTTGCGAGAGGCAGGAACAGAAACATTTAATATCCCTCGCTTTCTAAATCGTACATTAAGACCCCCTCGTGGAGGCACACGCCTCTAATCCCTTCACTCGGAAAGCTGAGCCAGGAAGGTCACCGGGAGTTTGAGGCCAGCCTGGGCTACAGTGAGTTCAAGGCCAGCCTGAACTCCATAGCGAGACCCTTTCGAAAAATCTAAATAAACAAGTGATAAAAATTAAATCGTACATTAAACAGGGAAGGAAGCTAAAATATGTGTTCACTTACATCCCTTTTTTTGTGACTCACAAGGACTGCGTAGCTATTCACGGTCACAGATCTGGACGAGGCTGTCTCATCAGGAGAGATAGTTTTGGAAGCTGGAATCCCGCGTTTCCTGTACTGTACTCCAAACCTCCATGATTCAGATGGGAAGTCTGCAACATGCCTCTCTTTTCCAGTTAGGACAAGAGTTCCAGACCTCGGGCCAGAGATTTAGCTCAGGGGTGCTACCGCCTGCCTCGCAAGTGCAAGGCCCCAAGGTCGAACCCCGGTACCAAAAAAAAAAAAAAAAAAAAAATTCCAGGCCTTAAAAGCTCATGGTCGAATGTATCTATTTTTCTGTCACCTTTCCTTTGGACATAGAACGCAATTAAATTTTGCCTAATTTTTGTTTGTTTTTAAGGCAGCGTCTCACTATGTAGCCGAGGCTGGCATGGCAATCCTCCTGCCTCAGCCTCCCAAATGCTGGGATCACAGGTGTTCTACATCATACTGGGCTCAAATTTTGCCTATTACTCTACCTAATTTTTACAAGAGCCTCGTATTAAAACGATAGTTTGAGATTTGGGAGGCTGTGATTGGCTGTCCTCAATTTCTGCTGAATATGGGTCCTTGTTCACCTCCAGAGTTAGGTGTTTTCATTAGTTTCAAACTAGGGACTGCTTTATCAGCACACGGGCTTGCTGTTAAAACACAGGCTCTGACCACGGCCTCATAAAGTGCAGTATCTGGAGGCTAGGATTGTAGCTCACTGGTACAGTAGGGCAGGGGCTTAGCATGTTCAGGGCCATGAGTTCAATCCCTAGCACCCAAAAAGAAAGGAGGAAGATGGAACCTGTCCAATCCTAATGAAAACCTCTTTTCCTCTGCATATTTCTATTTCTCTGTCTAGACATATCTCTAGATTTGAAACTGCTTTCTCTGGTTGATAGCTAGCTGTTGCTATTAACTTTGGTAATTCAAAGTTAATGAACCATATTCAATGTCAAAAAGGTAGAAGTAGCTACTATTTATCTAAAATCCTTGAAGCAGGCAAGGTCAGTAGTACTAATAAGGATAAATTTACAACCGAATAAACTGGGCATGGTGGCAAACACCTGTAATCCCAGCACTGGGGAGAGAGAGGCAGGAGGATGGCAGCAAGTTTGAGGCCAGCCTGAACTACCCAGCAAGACCCTGTCTCAAAAAAAGCAAAGGAAAGAAAGAAATGAAAAAAAGTGTTAATACTTTCCTATGTCATTTATTAATTATTTTTCTATTCCATTCCAAGCTAATCTGCAAGAAGCTGAGGGACTTTCGAGAGGTCTGAAAGATTTTTCGATTGGGGCAAGGATGTGGCTGGTCCCAGGAGGCACCACAACCTGCTCTTATTGGTGCTAAAATTATTGCCAGAAGCTTTCACTCACGAGGCTGAGGCAGGAGGATTGCCACAGTTTGAGAGTAGCTGGGACTACAGAGTGAGAGAGACCCTGTTGAACTTGAAGGATGATTGGGGATTTCCTAGTGGAGGATGGTCGGAGAGAGAGACTTACAGCACACAGAGCAGGGGCTCTCGACCTTGGTGAGCAGCTATTTGGGCTGGGGTTGTCCTTCACCATTCCTGGCCTCTACCGGTGACACCCCTCCCCCTACTGTAGCTGTGCCAACCCAAACTGCTCCCCGGGTGCCAGCCGGTGCAGGCAGCTCAGCAGAGAACCAGGGGCTGGGGGCTCACCACAGAACTGATTTCTGGTTCTGGAGGCAGGGACTCCAAGGTCAGGGCAACTTCAGGGCAGTTTCCAGCCAGGCTGCTCCCCTCTCCTTAGACCACTGGGCACCGGAACTTGGATGTCTCAATGGGGATTGAGTCTGTGACCTAGCACCACTGATGGGAGAGAATATGCAGCATTTAGGGGCGGGTAGGAAACAAACTGCCAAATCATAAAGGACCCTAGAGTGTGGTTTTCAGCCTTCAAAGTGATACCTAATATGGATATGTAGCCCAGGCTGGTCTTGAACTCACAGCAATCCTCCTGCCTCAGCCTCCCAAGTTAAATTTTAATATTTGAGCCAAAGCTGGAGATGGTGCTGCACGCCGGTGATCCCAGCGCTCTGACAGCTGAGGCAGAAGAATCCCAAATTCAAAGCCTGTCTCAAAAAAGGGGTCAGGCTATCGTTCAGTGTAGAGCACACCTGGACTGGATCCCTACTACTGCAAGAAACAAAAATTCTGGGTGTGGTGGCATATACCCATAGTCCCAGCACTCGGGAGGCTGAGGCAGGAGGATTGCCACAAATATGAGGCCAGCCTGGGCTACAAAGAGTTCAAAGCCACCCTAAACTACATGGCAAGACCTTGTCTCAAAATAACAAAAAAAATGTATGCAAGGCTGAGGATTTAGCTCAGTGGTTCAGTCGCCTGCCTGGCAAGCACAAGGTCTCAGGTTCGATCCCTGGTACAGAAAAAAAAAAAAATGTGTACGATACAGAGATTTTCAAGCTGGAGAATGATAGTCTTCTGCTTTGTGAGAAATCACTGCCAGCCACCCAGTGGTTCCTGTCCTGCTGCCCTCTACTCTGACAGTTCCGGACTTTCCATTTGTAGTTACACACTCCCCATACATTATCATGAAATAGCAACGAGGAGATGACAGTGGTTTTGTGCCTTGGCACATTTTTTTCAAAGGTAACATTACGTCAGTTCTCAAAACTTTTGTTTTTCCTGTTTTCTTTGAGACAGGATCTCACTATGTAGTTCAGGCTGGCCTCGGCGATCCTCCTGCCTCAGCCTCCCAAGTGCTGAGATTACAGGCATGCGCCACCATGCCTGTCTCTCAAAACCATTTTTAAAGCATTTCTCAACAATAACATCCCCAAATTTGAAAGAATTGTAAACAGGAGAGCACGCTAGTGTGAAAAAACTGCTGTTATTGCTGATAACAGTACTCTTTTGCTTTCTACGAGTCCCTGCCCACAGTATACAATGACCACGTTCCTCGTGGGCAGGCAGCACGAGTACACATCACATCTTCACTCTTTTCAGGCCCACCCCACCACCGCCCAGCAGATGGCGATATTGCTGAGAACTTTTGCACACGGAGCAGAGCCAACACAGAAGCTGAATGAAGTGGGATTGGAAGACCTGGGGCAGAGGGGTCGAGAGGACCTCGGTTTCTGGCTCAGACTCCTGCGTGGAAAGCATTGCCTCCCGAGACAGGTCAGAGTCTGGGCAGGGGCTGCAAGACCAGCTGTGTGCAGCCTGAGCCCCGGGCCTGCAGGGCTGGCAGGAGAAGATACCACGCTCAAAATCCTGGGCTCAGAGATAGGGCTGGGCGTGGCTGGGCCTGGAAGAAACTGCGCCAAGCACTGGAGTCTCAGGAGTTTTGTTTGTGGCAAGGGTGGTAAATTCTGGGATGGATGAGGGGGCGAGAAGGGAAGAGGTGGAGAGAGAAGGAAAGGTGTGTTCTGCACGAGCACCAGTTCCCCACCCCCCTTACGTGCTGCAAATGTGTACAACCCAGAGGACAATGAAAGGAGAAAATGCTTTAGACAATAATCCCGTGGAAGTTAGGAGGGAAAATGCTCTGTGAAACAGTTTGCCTGGCTGCAACAACTGCTATGGAAAGAAGGAACAGTGCAAAGTCTCGAAAGAGATCATTGATTTCGGCCACTGGTGGAAAGGCACTGGAGACTTTAGCAAGAGCAATTTTATTAGGAGATATCAAAAAATGGCACAAGAAAGCCGGGCGTGGTGGTACAGGCCTGTAGTCCCAGCACTGGAGAGGCTGAGGCAGGAGGATCGCCTTGAGTTTGAGGCCAGCCTGGAATATACAGCAAGACCCTGCTCAAGAAAGAAAATGATACAAGGGATGGGAATGCGCTATCCTATCCAAGGGTCAAAGAATACTTCAAACCTGTTTGTTTTTGAGACTGGGTCCCGCTATATAGTTCAGAATTGAATTTGAACTCACTATATAGCTCAAGCTGGTCTCAATCTCATGTTTATCCCCCTGCCTCTGCCTCCCCAGTGGTGGGATTACAAGCACGCACCACCACACCTAGCTTCAAAGGGTCCTCCTTCATTGTCCTAGAAAGGACCTCTCCTGACATTAAATGTGGCTGTCTGGAACACTGTAATTTTTTCCTCATCTTAATTATCCAATGACATCTTAAATTATCTTTGATCGTATAATATGCTGCTGTCTTCTTTGTAATTGGAGTATAATTAGATGCCCCACAGTACTAGAGCTTTGTTGCTGTCCCCTGTAATCTCTGTGTAGACAGTGTTGTGCCCAGATTTCGAGGTCCCCAAAGACCACCAAGGAGCCAATTCCGATGTAAACACACGAGGGTCATTTATTCAAGCTCGAGCAGGGACTCCCAACCGTCACCGCCGCAGCGGGTCAAGATTGAGAGCCCCGACTCCAAATCAGCAGGAGTTTTTATAGTGGTTACAGCAAGGCTCTAGATTGGCAATTAAACCTGATTGATTGTGCCTTGCGCACCCAAGCTGCAAACGGTTGCTAACTACTGA